TTTCTATCACTTCTTATTAAAAAATAGAGATTCTTAAGTTCATCAGGTGTTAAATGTTTCGTATGATAAATAACCGAACATATTCTCTGAGATTTTTGCATTTAAAATGATTCCATACTGTCTTGGCGTGCTTGTATTCATTATTGTTTATATTTGATTCTGTTAGTGTACTATAAAATGCGCTTTTTTCTGGTAAATTCGTTTCTTCGAGCTTGATCCAACTATCAGTATATTCGTTAGGGTAAACACCTTTACGAGTAAGGAGCTGCACATCTTCGGTAAAAAAGTGCTTTGCTGTCTCTCTGAAATTTTCGAACACGGGTGTTATTAAATTAAAAGCGTGTGTTTGTGTGTGATTATGTATATATTGGTACGTATGTGTTCATGTATATTTGTATGTGTGGGTGTATGTGTGTATGTGAGTGTGCGTGCGTGCGTGCGTGTGTGTGTGTGTGTGTGTGTGTGTGTGTGTGTGTGTGTGTGTGTGTGTGTGTGTGTAAATGTATGTATGCATATATGTGTTTGACTTGGATTAGAGATTTATATAATACTAGCACCGGTGAAACTCGCTGTAAGTGAATACCCTAGGTCGGTGAAACTCGCTGTATGTGAATACCCTAGGTCGGTAAAACTCGCTGTATGTGAGTACCCTAGGTAGCTGAATATCGTTTGAAGTGAATTTCCTAGGTCGGTGACAGGACTTAAGAATACAGCAGTTAGAAAAGTCTAGTAGGCAAAACCAGTGATAACGACGTTTGACATGTTGGTACCTCTGATTTGGTGGCTCTACACTTTGGCGGTGTCGTTTTAAACGCGTAAATAATAATCTTATAATATAATAAAAGTATATAAAAGTCCAATTCGAACGTTTAGTGGTGGGTTATTTCATTAAATTTACAGGTGTAATACACCTTGTCCCGTAGCTTGCCCTGTGCTTTTGTGCATGGAAAATAAATAAATACATTCCGAAATGGTAATTAAATGTCTAGCTATCAGTCATTACCCGGTGCTTGTCGTTACTCGACTGGGCAATCCGCGTAGCTTGCCCGGTGTTTTTGAATATGGAAAATAAATAAATATACACTCCGAAAGGTTGATCAAGTGTCTAGTTATCAGTCATCGTCCAGTGAATATCGATTCCTGACAGGGCAATCCGCCTGCGGCGGATTGTCATACCTCCTGACGTCGAAAGCGTTGTACTGTTTAGTACGCAAAAAAGTTTAAGTCGAATCGAGCGCTCGATTTTTCAAGCGATCATCACTGAAAATCCAATTAAACGCGTTTGAACCTCCCAGGTAGGCGATCCGACTGCGTCGGATCGCGGACGACGTGGGCGTAAAGGAGAGATGTTAAACGCATTATGGAAAACGCATGTCGAACGTTAGCTAGTTGAAAATCAAAAAAACTATACATAATTAATATTTTTTTTCATATTTTATAGATGGTTAGATATCGAAAAGAAATAATATGCGCTTTCTGTGATGACAAAATATTTAAAAATCAAAAGAAAAAATTTGCTACTGTTCTTCCCCTGTATCTTTCAAATGTAAGCGACTGAAAGGCTAAACATATAAAATAGTGAATTCACCGTCAAAAAACCGAGTGAAACAACTGTATCGTCATCAATAGAACGTTCTCGGGCTATAATATAAATTGCATATCACAAATGTACATTTGAATCGTGCAGACTGTTGGCAATAACTATAATTGGTTTAATTAAATACAATAATCTATCTTTAATCTATTTAAAAAAATGAATAATTGAATACTATTGTGTAATTTAACGTTCGTGTAAAGTATATTATAATATAATATATTTTGTCATCATCAATCAAGCAGTATAAAATGTAATGTGTGAGATCAAAAATCGTTTTTAAAATTTGAAAAATATTATATGAGTAGTAATGTCATATTAAAACGAAAATAGCAATTAATAATGATCGAATTAAATGAAAAAAAAAATGCAAAAAATCCCGTACGTGTGATTTCACATGGGGCCGCCCGGAATACGCCGGAACGGATTCAAACCTGCCTACCTAACGTTGGGAGACCTATCCTAACACCTATCGACTACCGTATGAGTTGAAATCCGTAACCGAATCTCGAGCACTTAAACCGTTTTAGAGATGCGACGAATACTACATTATACGTCGTTTGACCCGTATAATTTTTACGATTCGGGTGTCACGAAACCGTAAATCGCATATTTATTGTCGTTTAGAACGTTTTCGACGTATTCGTTTACATTTTTCAATCGTATACGTCTCAACGACGTACCGAGTTTATTATCACATACACATATCACGATATCCCCCCCCCCCAAAGGTATGCGATTAAAGGCATTACAACGACTGAAGAGCAACGATTTTGCGATTTTTTTGTATATAATAAACATAATCTGACGTACGTCAACAACGGTACGCACGTTTCTTTTTCATATAATATTATTATTATATATATATACACATAAATAATCGTATTTCGTACGCTATCGAGACGATAAGGTCGCGGAGGCGTCCGAGGGCGGAGACACCGAAAACAAAAAACGCGTAATCGATACGGATAAACGATTTATCGTATCGTAAAAAAAAAAAAACAGTATTGACGATACGACGACCGACCGGAGAACGCGCCGCGAGTACGCTTTTCCGGACGCGAACGAAATCCGGAGACGCGCGGACCGGACGAAAAAGACCCGCTCCGGGCTATAGCGTCGAGAACGCGACGGAAAGAGGTCTCGAAAGGCCGGAAAACCGGGCGAAAAGCGGAAAAAACGGTATATAAAAACAATAATAATGAGTAATAAGCAATAACCCAACCGATGACGACGACGGCGGGAGATAACGATAACGACGACGGCGGGAGATAACGACGACGACGACGGCGGGAGATAACGACGACTGGAAGAAAAAAATCGTAATTTTTCGATTGGTCGGAACACTAAAGTGCCCGCATTCTGGCGGATTTTTCGGGAAGCTCGTTTTGGTTTTATATTATAAGAAGATTAGGTATGTGTGTATGGGTTAAGTTAAATGAATTTTAGGTAGGTCTAGAATATATTGTATACTATTTGGAATTGTATTTTTAACAATAATCGGATATTCTTATGAACTGTTCTTTTGTTTAGGCGATGAAGGGACTGATGTTGAGTTTGATGACGTCGATTCAGTGTCGATTGATGACTAGGGTGTAGTGGCGGGGATTAAAGATGTAGGTCAGAATATATTATGTTAGAGTCGTATGTGATTATGGTCACTAAGATCTCTGGTAACGAAAAAAAAAAATTTGAAATAATATATATTTGATAACAATATGTGATAACATATGTGATAGATAACGTTGGGTTTGACCACAGATATATCTGTATTAGTATATATATGTGGGTTTGACAACGGCGGTTAGGTTAGATTAGATTAGTTAATATGTGTTGCAGATTGCCTATATTCATTATTTATACAAATTTTGGAGGTGTTTGGGAGGTGCATGAGTAGTTGTTGTCTAAAAAAAAGGTCATATGATTTTACATGTAAATTTAAGGGGGAGGTGATCCAGAACTGTCCTTTTCAACCAACATATTTTATAATTTAACTAATTACTATTAAAAAATTATTATTATATATAATAATAAATCTATATAATATTATATAGAATACGTACTAGTTAAATTAGTATCAATAAATTTCAATAATCGACGGTGGTAATTGATTTGATCACCTAAAAAAAAAAATATATATACCTACTGTATACTAACCTAATTTTCTTAATAAACTATTTAAACGAAAATTGATTCTACAGGATTATTTATTTCAATACATTAAATTATAATTTTATATTATGGTATTATTTATGGTTTTATTTACATATTATTTATGTGCATATATTTCAATATACAAATATACGAACTCTGTTCATGGTAGGCAGTTCTTGACGAGATAAGTAACAAGATTACAACACGTAATTAATTATTATGAATTAAGTTATACACAACTACAATCATATTTACATTTGTGAATGTATAATAAGTATATGAAATGTATATTATATAACTATTGTAGATGAAGGTTCTGTATAAGTGGTAATAATAGACAGACAATATCTGCGACAAACGGCGCGACAAACGGCGTTGCATCTAATATCAGGATATGTATTGTTACGACGATTGTCATAACCATATATTTTCAGATTAGGAAGGTCGTCATTCAAATTTGATGATTTTTATGTATAAAATCGTTATATATATCGACTTTCTGGGAAAAAAAATATTTTATAACTATCGAGTATTAATTGCGATTTTTAGTGTAATTATTATAATGTGATTTTATAAAGAATACGTAAAACCCACAAGCTTAAGGGTACGTAAGCAATAAAAAATGTTATACAAAAATATAATTTACTACTCATGAGAATATCATCTGGTTCTATAACAAAATACATTTATAAAATATGTCAACAAATGTTCTGTTAAAAACAACATATTTGTTTTTATATGTATTGTAACAAAAGTGCATTTAATGTAGGCATTTGTTTTTTTTTAAATTTTTAGAGAACGATTAATCCTTTGATTCTGATCAATTATTGAACAATTTTTACAGTTGTTGTTGACGAGAAATGTAACAATATTATGAACGTTGGAACACACTATAATTATGTATTA